CATTTCCATTCATGTTGAGTTTAGGTCAATGGTGAAACTTACATTGACCGTGCTTACTAGTTCACAAGCAATAATCATTGCGTGGTCAAACAGAGTTGGAAAGTCAGAGTACAGTGTTACAACTGCAAACTTTTTGGTTAGTGAATGACACAGGCCTTATTTTTTTGCCAGTATTGGAATTCTTTAAAAATGTAAAATAAAATTGTGGACTATTGAATTGGGAACTCTTGAGTTGGAGGATGTGAATGTTATGTTATGTAATGAAATACTGGATATATTATTTTCTTTAACTTCTGCTTCTATCTCGTTTTGCAACATCTTCTAGTGCGGAGGAAGCCAAAGACATTCTATTTCATTTCCATGGAATCCAGTAGATTCTAGATAGAGGATTTTCAATTGCATTGAATCCAACAGATTCTATTCAATTCCATTAAAATCTCAATCTTTTAAAATCTCTGAAAAATCCGAATCGAGGACACCCCCTAAGTTTTCTGAAATAATAACAGTACGGAGTAATAAAAAATAAAATCAATGTGCGTGATCTGGTTGATGCTGCATTAGTTCTAGACTAGATTCAGGACTCAGTTGCAGTCAGTTGAAGAGGAGCATCAACAAATCATCTTACTGTACACGCTCTTTTATGGTATTTCATTTCATCCATTCTTATGGTAAGATGGTATATATGTTGTCTCCCACTCGGGCTCTCACCTCCTGCAATGCCTTCGTTCATTTAGGCACATTTGTGTGCGTTCCATGCTAATGAATAGTGGGTTGAAAGAGTGAGAAATTTGAATACTTCTGTCAATGGAGTACATGAGAATTAAAGATCATGTTTTGTTCACAATTCATTTCAAGCATTTGCAGCTTCATATCTCTCTTTGGTTAACTTTTACACATAGAACTAACCTATAAGGAATCTAAAACGAAAATACTAATTACTCGAAAAATTTGTCCAATACTGAACCCTCTGTTAGGACAAGCATGAGACATCTGCTGATGCTATCGAAAGCTTACCCACGAAAGCGGTTTCAGGTTGGGTGCATTTTTATATTAATTATTATTGGATTGGATGTCTTGGTAGCACTTTTGGGAGTAAGATGGGGAATATGCTTTCCCTGGTTGATTTATGTGGGCAAGTATTGAGTTTCGATTATGCAGGCTCTCTTAATTAATATCATGGCCGCAGTATGGGCAAGGCCAGGTGACCAATCTAAGTGGAAGCGCAAGTAGAAACAAGAGCTTGGTTACTTTTTTAATTTTATTTTCCAAGCATGCTTTTTTAAACTATTTGGAGCTACACTTTTCATTTCCATTCATGTTGAGTTTAGGTCAATGGTGACACTTGCATTGACCGTGTTTACTAGTTCACAAGCGATACTCATTGTCTGGTCAAAGAGAGCTGGAAAGTATGAGTACAGTGTTATAACTGCAAACTTTTTGGTTAGTGAATGACATAGGCCTTATTTTTTTGCCAGTATTGGAATTTTTTAAAAATGTAAAATAAAACTGTGGACTATTGAATTGGTAAATATTGAGTTGGAGGATGGGAAGGTTATGTTATGTAATGAAATACTGAATATATTATTTTCTTAAACTTCTCCTTCCATCTCTTTTTGCAACATCTTCTAGTGCGGAGGAAGTCAAAGACATTCTATTTCATTTCCATGGAATCCAATAGATTCTAGATAAAGGATTTTCAATTGCATTGAATCAAATAGATTCTATTCAATTCCATTAAAATTTTAATCCTTAAAAATCTCCTAAAATCCGAATCGAGGACACCCCCTAAGTTTTCTGAAATAATAACAGTATGGAGTAATAAAAAATAAAATCAATGCGCGCGATCTGGTTGATGATGCATTAGTTTTAGACTAGATTCAGGACTCAGTTTCAGCCGGTTGGAGAGGAGCATCAATAAGTCATCTTACTGTAGACGCTCTTTTATGGTATTTCATTTCATCCATTCTTAAGGTAAGATGGTATATATGTTGTCTCCCACTCGGACTGTCACCTCCTGCAATGCCTTCATTTATTTAGGCACATTTGTGTGTGTTCCATGCTCGTGAATACTAGGTTAAAAGAGTGAGAAATTTGAATACTTCTGTCAATAGAGTATAGGAGAATTAAAGATCAGGTTTTGTTCACAATTCATTTCAAGCATTTGCACCTTCATATCTCTCTTTGGTTAACTTTTACTCCTACAACTAACCTATAAGGAATCTAAAACAAAAATACTAATTACTTGAAAAACTTGTCCAATACTGAACCCTCTGTTAGGAAAAGCATGAGGCATCTGCTCATGATATTGAAAGCTTACCCACGAAAGCTGTTTCAGGTTGGGTGCATTTTTATATTAATTATTATTGGATTGGATGTCTTGATAGCACTTTTGGGAGTAAGGTGGGGGGTCTGCTTTCCCTGGTTGATTTATGTGGGCAAGTATTGAGTTTCGATTATGTAGGCTCTCTTAATTAATATCATGGCCGCAGTATGGGCAAGCCGAGGTGACCGATCTAAGTGGAAGCGCAAGTAGGAACAAGAGTTTGATTACTTTTTTATTTTTATTTTCCAAGCATGTTTTTTTAAACTATTTGGAGCTACACTTTTCATTTCCATTCATGTTGAGTTTAGGTCAATGGTGACACTTGCATTGACCGTGCTTACTAGTTCACAAGCAATACTCATTTTCTGGTCAAAGAGAGCTGGAAAGTATGAGTACAGTGTTACAAATGCAAACTTTTTGGTTAGTGAATGACATAGGCCTTGTTTTTTGCGAGTATTGAATTTTTTTTAAAATGTAAAATAAAACCGTGGACTATTGAATTGGGAACTCTTGAGTTGGAGGATGTGAAGGTTATGTTATGTAATGAAATACTGAATATATTATTTTCTTAAACTTCTGCTTTCATCTCTTTTTGCAACATCTTCTAGTGCGGAGGAAACCAAAGACATTCTATTTCATTTCCTTGGAATCCAATAGATTCTAGACAGAGGATTTTCAATTGCATTGATTTCAACAGATTCTATTGAATTCCATTGAAATCTCAATCTTTTAAAATCTCCTAAAATCCGAATCGAGGACACCCCCTAAGTTTTCTGAAATAATAACAGTACGGAGTAATAAAAAACTAAAATCAATGCACACGATCTGGTTGATGCTGCATTAGTTGTAGACTAGATTCAGGACTCAGTTGCAGCCTGTTGGAGAGGAGATCAACAAGTCATCTTACTGTACACGCTCTTTTATGGTATTTCATTTCATCCATTCTTATGGTAAGATGATGTATATGTTGTCTCCCACTCGAGCTCTCACCTCCTACAATGCCTTTGTTCATTTGTGTGCAGTGGCGGAGGTGGGAGGCATACTGGGCCCTGACCCAGGGTAGGTCCCACTAATTTTAGGAATAGTATATAAAAAATGATAGAACAGACCCATTACAAAAAGGGTGTTGCTTCATGCACCCCCAAAATTGTTTAATCTAACCTGAGTGGACAAATTTGGTCTTCTTAATTATCAATTAAAATTAAGTATAATTAAAATAAATAAAAATTTCTTTGCGCACCTCCAGCTCCATGCCCGGCTCCTCCATATCATTTTTATATTAAGTATGCATCCAATAGAATGATGCCATGTGGCAAGTGATCCCTTTTTTTATAAAATGTCATAATTTTTTCATTTTTGCTCCAATTTTTATAAAAATTATACCAAATTAAATATCTTTTTATGATCTTTCATTTGACACCAATATTATATATGTAAATTTAAAAAAATCTAATTAAGTCTCGTGAACGGTCGAAAAATGTATATTTACTATTATTTAAATCTAATATAGTCAGATCTGATTCTATTTGTTTGAATCTCTCTGGTTCAAAATCAGTTCAATTAAAAACTAACTAATACCATTCACATCATAAATCTAGTCACGTAACATATATGATCGTAATGTGGAATCAACATGGTGCTGATGTAGTTTTAAAAGGCGGACCCCTCCACGTCTGAAATTAGTTCAACAAATAAAAAATGAAAGTAATTAGTTTACTAGAATTAAAAATGTAACTTATTCGAATATATAATCTAATATAGAATTTCCAAAAAAATCTAATACGAAGTATAGAATTGCGCAAAGTTAAAAACAAAACAAAACATTTAGGTTTATATCAATTATCCAATACAATTCTAACGGGGTCTCTTATAACATCACGACATTCTGTAAATTGTTTAATTCGATGAAGAAATGAAGTGTCCCATCTTGTAACACTAGCGTCATGATAGTAAGACCATGTCGTAATCACTGGTGGCAATGGAGCATTGTCGTCAAGCTAAATCTGTGCATCAACACAAGTTGTCATTTTATGCATATCATATGGTAATGTGAAAAAAAAGGTAATGTGAAAACCAAATGGAACTATGAAATTTTGTTTGCTTACAGCTATGTAGTGGAGTATTGTTTGCTCAAGCATGAATGTCTCAACATCAGTACCGAAATTAAATTGCTTTCGATTTTGATGTCTGTAAGATTTTCCTTTAATATCCTAGCCACGTCCACGAGAACCATGATATGATATTGTGCCCTTGGATTTTTTGTATTTTTTCTCCGTGTACTCTCAGGCGCTTGGGACTCGAGTGGTTGATTTTTTTGGGGCCTTCCCTTCATTTCATGAATCGGTAGCTCTTTCATAGTATTAAGTTTTGGATTTCTCATCTCAATCCATTTTGCATGAAGTCTTTTTTTCTGTTGTGCTGACATACGACCAGATTGAAACTCATCAACTATGGTGTAATCTTGATTGTATTAGGAATTTAAGTGTATGTTGAGAACTATTTGGAAACATTTAAGTGTATTCGGAAACATGTTACACAAAATTTTGGAAACATTAAAACTTATTTTTATTTTAAAAAAGCAATAAATTAGTCTAGTAATTAATTGACTCTAGGACACCAATTCAAATTGGATGTGTGCTATTAGAAGAGGACAACGTGACGTGTGCTATTAGGTGCGCCTAGCAAGTTTCTCTAGTGGCCCAATTATTGCCTCCGTATGGAAGAGGACAAATTAGTCCGATGGTGGGAAAAAAATGGGTGCGCATAGTATGTTTGGAGGTGCGCGGAGAAGGCTCGTTACAAAAATAAACTTGGCCCAGTGTCCAACCAGGGAACAAGCCTTGCTGGAGTGCAACAAGTGCCTGCAGCGTGTAAACAAGCAGCAAGAATCGACCCTGAGGTACCACCGCTCCATTCGCTCCAACTTTTGCGAACCGACCAAAGGAGAGGCACCACCGCGCGTCGCCAGACATCCGCCGGATCACGGAGGTCGACCGACGGTGGGTCTGTGGCGGTGGATATAGCTCCCAAAAAGCAGTCCATTCTTAAATCTCTCATTGGCTATTGCTCAAGAAATTGAGGTTAATTTTCTAACCCTAACTCATGAATTATATATTCAGTTTTTAATATATTTTGATGCAAGATTGTATCTTGAGTGTTTTGTGATTTTGGAGTGTATTTACATTAATTATAAATTGATGTGAATTTTAGATTTTAGGTGAATTGGTGAATGGTGATTTAGTGAAAATGTGAATCTGTGATTATGTGTATATATAATATGTTCTATTAGTGAATCTTTGAGATATACTCCGAGTGAATTAGTGATATAATGAATTAGTGATGTATATTAATATAGGTTAATCAGTTAATGTGATTTGTTTATATTTGTTGAAGTGTTGAAAAAAAAGTTAGTGATGTATATTAATATAGGTTAATATCATCTATTTAGGTGAAAAAAAATTTAATGTTTTCTAACTAGTGATGTATATTATATTTAGGTGAAAAAAAAATTAGTGATGTATATTATATTTAGGTGGAAAAAAAATTAGTGATGTTTAAACGGAGTACTCCATAGTGATATAATGAATTAGTGATGTATATTAATATAGGTTAATCAGTTAATGTGATTTGTTTATATTTGTTGAAGTGTTGAAAAAAAAATTAATGTTTTCTAACTAAATTGCTATGTATTTTAACTCTTTTAATATCATCTAATTTTTTAAAATGTGTTTTAAAAATATTTGGTTTGTAGAAAAAAATAATGGCTACTCAATAGCCTCCTTCCAAGAAAACCAAAGGCACTTTGTGTTCTTTCTATAGACCTATTACTTCCGTTTGGAGTAACAACTTTTGTGATAGACTTTAATTAATTTGATTACTATATTTATTACTTAAAAATTATGTCTTGAAGTTTAATTGGAATCCGGCCTCTTTGTTGTCCTAGCTCCGCCCCTGTTTGTGTGTGTTCCATGCTCGTGAATAGTGGGTTAAAAGAGTGAGAAAGTTGAATACTTCTGTCAATGGAGTACAGGAGAATTAAAGATCAGGTTTTTTATTTCTCTCTCTTTTGCTCACAATTCATTTCAAGCATTTGCAGCTTCATATCTCTCTTTGGTTAACTTTTACTCCTAACAAATAACCTATAAGGAATCTAAAACGAAAACACTAATTACTCGAAAAATTTGTCCAATACTGAATCCTCTGTTAGGACAAGCATGAGGCATCTGTTGATGACATTGAAAGCTTACCCACGAAAGCTGTTTCAGGTCGGGTGCATTTTTATATTAATTTTTATTGGATTGGATGTCTTGGTAGCACTTTTGAGAGTAAGGTGGAGGATCTGCTTTTCCTGGTTGATTTATGTGGGTAAGTATTGAGTTTCGATTATGCAGGCTCTCTTAATATCATGCCCGCAGTAGGGGCAAGCCCAGGTGACCGATCTAAGTGGAAGCGCAAGTAGGAACAAGAGCTTGGTTACTTTTTTATTTTTATTTTCCCAAAAATATGGATCTACACTTTTCATTTCCATTCATGTTGAGTTTAGGTCAATGGTGACGCTTGCATTGACCGTGCTTACTAGTTCACAAGCAATACTCATTGTCTGGTCAAAGAGAGCTGGAAAGTATGAGTACAGTGTTACAACTGCAAACTTTTTGGTTAGTGAATGACACAGGCCTTATTTTTTTTGCCAGTATTGGAATTTTTTAAAAATGTAAAATAAAACTGTGGACTATTGAATTGGGAACTCTTGAGTTGGAGGATGGGAAGGTTATGTTATGTAATGAAATAATGAATATATTATTTTCTTAAACTTCTGCTTCCATCTTTATCATTAGGTAGAGGCTCTGAAGTGTGCACTGTCACTTGCAGCTTTAATGAGAATCTGGAGAAAAGACGGCGTTACTGATGATAACAGGTTTTCTTTTGTGCATGTGTGTGTGTGTGTTCAGGGGTGTAGATAGGGGTGGGCCAGCCATGGCCCTAGCCCAACCCAAATTTTAAAAATATCTTTGTTTTTAGTGTAAAAAAGTCTGTGTATTTTTTTTAAAAAAATATTCTTTGTACCGGCCCAGTCCGGCCCAGTGCCCTTGCTCCACCCCTGTGTGTGTTGTTTCCTAATCTGGGAGACGAATATCAACTCTTCATCTCAGATGGGAGGACGAAGAATTTCAATTTGTAACCCATACTTGGTATGGTTTGTGATGCGATAAATGATGATTTGGATGTTGGTTGGCACATATTTTGGTCCATCTCACAAAATGAGACCTGTGATATGGCCTTATGGAATACAACCCCCCAACTGAATTTGAGGTTAAACACCTTTCTTTGTTTTTTCTTAAAATAACACATTTTTTTTTGTTATTTCCGTTGTTTCTATATTTAGGTTAAGCACTACATATGATGAGGTCAGTGTTTATCCAATTCCCGCTGCTCTGTACCTTTGCAAGAATTTACTGCAGGTTGGTTCTAAACTTTTTGTGTAATGAAAAGCACTTTGAATTTCATCTTATAACCTCTGATTTAAACTTATTGGTGTGTCACAGTATTACATATTTGCATATGTAGATGCTCCTGGATATCAGATACTAAAGAACTTGAACATTATCAGCACTGGTGTTTTGTATCAAATTATTCTTAAGAGGAAGTAAGCCCTTTCACCATTTTCTTGAGTAATGATTAATAATTCAGCGTCTTGTTTGTTGTTTATTTTTTCGAGCATATTATTTCTACCATCCACAGGGAAGTGACCCCTTTGTTTTTTCTTATTAATGAAAAGCTTACTTATCAAAAGAAAAATAGAAATAATTGTAAACTGCTTCATAGTGGCTTAGGATCTTTTAATGTTGCTCTTTTTCCTTATTCTATACATTTTCTCATCATTTTGGATTACTTGTTTGAATGTCTTACTTCAAAGATTCGGCTAGTTGTAGAAGCCATTTGATCGCCTGCTTAAATATATACCAGAAGTTCAGGTTCCAAAACAGTGAAGATCACCTCCATGGCTCCAACACACATGCCATAAGAAATCTGCATCCTTGACCTGGCCATATATTGCATTGCCAGCTTCTAGATTCTGTCCCTTAGTTTTGTTTCTTTTCGTGTTGTTAGTGTTACATGAATATAGTAGGAGTGAAGAAACAAATCCTTTATAATGGTCTAATGCATTGCTAAGTACAACTTAGATGCTGACCACATGGGTGTTGATGATTTTATTCCCCAAGAAAAAACACGGTTTTGGAGGCAAATCATTAGTTTGGTAAGAGGGATGTACAGGAGAAAGGAGTGGACATGCTTTCCACTCGCAATATTGGGCTCGCCTAATTAGTTCGGAGATAAGATGTCACTCATTTCACATTTTTAGCAGGCACTGTTTGTGTCTTGTGGCTGACTGAGAGTTTGTATTAAAAAAAACCAATGCTCCTGAATAATTTGTCATAAACTCTACAACCAATTATATGAACTGCACCTTTCTCAAGGATAGTAATGCATGACTTTCCTCAAATTCTTCAAACTACAAAGTGTATGTATCTAAAACTTTACCCACTTTCTCATTTAGGTTGAGTGAGGTTCAATGGGCAGCTTTCATTTTACTTTGTGCAGGATGTACAACAGCACAACTTAATCCTAGGTGAGGTTCTTCACGTAGACTACCAAGGGTGACTAATGTGAATATTATTAGTATTGTAATGTCATGAATAAAGTTTGCTGTATTTTTAAATTACTGATATGGCTGTACCACTTCTGTCATGCCTCACACTCCATGGTCCTAACAGAATTACATTCTCCTTGCAGCTCTGATCATATTCTCCAAAGTCCTGTTCAAGGTTGGCTTATGGCTATTGTAAGTTGCAGAAGTTTCAAGACATAATGCAATTATTAAAGTTAGAGAAATAGAGTTCTATAAACTTATTAATGAGTTATACTTGTTTACACATTTTTGCATCACACATTCAGGTTATGGCTCTTCTAAGTGGTTTTGCTGGAGTTTACACAGAGGTATACTTTTTAACCTGCTATTCAGTTTTCAGTATTGGGTTCCAACTTCCAAGGGTACTTCTTTAAATATCACCGTGACCAAAGAAATTATATTATTTGTGTCTATTTTCTCCATTGTCATTTTGACTCATTTCATATGTTTATTGGCAAGCTCTGAAGCAGACTACCTTGATTATTGGGATTTTATAATCTGGGTCTCTTGCTTTTATAATTATATATTTGAATTTTTTTCTTTTAATGGTTGGTGATAGTGTGTTAGTGCGCTGTTATTTCCTATAACTGTAGTAAAAAAGTACTGGCACACAACGTAGTATGCAGTTTAGGTTAATGTATTCTTTCCCTCCTTTTTAGGAGTTCGTAACTATTTGGGGCAATTTTCTCGTTTATTAATAGGAACCTATTAGTATAACAATACTAATAATAATAGAAGTATATTAAATAATTGTGAGTGTATTAAAGGGTCCTAGGCCAGGTACTAGTTAGTTTTGGGTTGGCCCATAAGTAAGTATAAATAGAAGGGAGGGAGAAATAAGAAGGTAGGCAGATTTTGGATTGGGGAATTTGGGATCTGGGAGAGTTGAGGCCTCTCGAAGTGCCCTGTGTGTATCGTCTTCCTCTTTTCTGCAATTCAGTCCAATAATAGTGACTATTTTACTGTTACGAGATCAGAGTACCTATCAATGGTATCAGAGCATAAGATGGATTCGCTGGAGAATATGAGGGATTCGTGGGAGAGGCATCACACATCGATGAAGAAGAACTTAACAGACATGAAAACAATGATGGAAAACATCCCAGTAAAGATGGATGCGCTGAGTGATGAACTTCGCGATCCTATCATCGTCATCATACGCGACCTTCAACAACATCTCAGAAGTCATCGCCAACAACATCTCACAGTTTGCAGGCTTCAGTATCGGCTTCAAGCTCTAAAGCTTCGTCACGAAATGTTTATCCTCAATCATCTTCATCGCAAATCTTTTCTCCCTGTTCGCAAACTGTATCGCAAGAGAAAAATATCAATTCGCAGTCGCGAACCCTAATTACCAGCTCACAATCGCGAACTCACTCTCTCAGTTTGAAATCGCAGAGTTCAACTCTATCTTATCCTTCCAGTTCCCAGAAATCTTCGCAGTCAACATCGTCGTTTATTTCTCCAAGTTCGCAGATGCGAACCACTTTTCCCAGTTCGCATTCGCGAACCACTATTCTCAGTACACAGGGTTGGTCGCCATTGGCTTCTCCCAGAGCGCAAGTGTCCTCCGCATCCAGAACCATCGACCCTGTAGAATCTGAAAAGGGCTTGTATGTTGCACAACCAGTTCCGGAACTGGAGCATGATTAGGAGAGTACTGAATCTATGGAATCTCCATCAACTATTCAGAAGGATTTGAACATGCCTATGAAGGAAGACAATGGAAGGTGTTCAAGTAATTTAGAACCAGCCCAAGTGGAGCATCCCGTTCTGGCAAAGCAAGTGATGAAGGATAATTCACAGACTAGTGCCTTAGAAGGACTAGTTATCAATAATTCAGATGACAAGTTTGTGAGGGAAGAAAAAGAGAGGGTGATTACTGTTGACAGTCTATGTACCAGAGGGAATTTTGCTATAGGTGCAAAAGTGAATTGTCCTCTTGGACATATGCCGGGAATTGAAATATTAAAGCCTACCAAGAAGTTGGAGGGAATCCTCAGCTCATACACTGTTGTTACAGATGAACGTAACTTATAGTCTTTCCTGGTAGCTGTGATTCGAAGGGTTCAACCAGAACTGGTTGGTGGGGAAATTTTCTCACAATTCACTTCTATGAACTCTCGTACTGAACCTCATGTTGGACACACTATTCTGGCTGCTAGTTGTGAAGAATCTGCTTATCACAATCCATCAGTTCCATCGCTTGGTCTGGAGCCTATTAGCTGGAGTCAACCATCCGCTGAGGATGCGTTCACAGTGGACCAATTGATGACTAGGAAAGGTGTGGCTCCAGTTCCTATGGGCACCCTTCCACAAGGCCAATTGATGAATGGAACATCTCTGTCATCTCATTCGGCTTGGGATGCTAATGAATACAAGTTTGTCGTGTTTCTATCCTTGGACTCCTCAGATATGGGACTGAAAGGGGCTGATAATTTTGCTCTTGGTAACAGTGTCGAAGAGAAGGTTGATGAAATAAAAGAGATTGGTGCTGTTGACAATTTTAAAAATCATGCAGAATCTGAAATAATCAAGTTCCTGGAAAAGATGTTGGAAGAAAAGCCAAGGTTACAAGGAAAGATGCTGATGTTGGAATGTTATAACCTTTACAACAATAAGGAGCCTTATGCCACCATGTCCTTGTTTCTGTTTCTCCCTGCTGTGAAGTACATATGGAAGAAGATTCAAGTGTTGAAGCTAATGATCCAGAATGCAATGATGTATTGGGAAGGAAGAGGTGCCAGAATGAAGATGAAGTCGAGAGTTAAGGCTGTTTCCTATCACCCACCTTGAGGACAAGGTGGTTGTCTAAGGGCGGAGATATGATAGGAACCCATTAGTATAATAATACTAATAATAATAGAAGTATATTTAATAATTGTGAGTGTATTAAAGGGTCCTGGGCCAGGTACTAGTTAGTTTTGGGTTGGCCCATAAGTAAGTATAATTAGAAGGGAGGGAGAAATAAGAAGGTAGGCAGATTTTGGATTGGGGAATTTGGGATCTGGGGGAGTTGAGGCCTCTCGAAGTGCCCTGTCTGTATCGTCTTCCTCTTTTCTGCAATTCAGTCCAATAATAGTGACTATTTTACTTTTATGAGATCAGAGTACCTATCATTTATCTTATTCAACGTAAACCTTCCTTTAAGCAGAGAAGGTTTGGTTACAAAATTCTGAAAAGCAGATTACTCAAAAATTACAGCCCACTAAGGCACTAACACAACCAAGTAAAAAGCAACATTTGAATACATTTATTATTTATTATTAATAATAAGAACCAACAGAAACTGAACGCGAACTCCCAATGGTCTATAATGTGCCCATTTATATGAAGTGTGTGACAGCATAAGCTATACAACCACTCTAGCTAGGCTTGAAAAGGAAACCAGGTGAGCTATGAAGTGCCACGAGCGTAGAAAAGAAGTTGCCAAATACCTGTGGTAGTTTTATACTTTTATGTATGCGTTTTAGTTTATTATTTGCTTTATTCATGCAGGCAATAATAAAGAACCGGCCTTCAAGGAATATTAATGTTCAAAACTTCTGGCTATATGTCTTTGGAATGGTCTTCAATGCTATTGCAATAGTCATTCAGGATTTTGACGAAGTTGTGGACAAGTAAATTTACATTTGCAAGTGCCTTTTTTTCCTGACCTATGATTTTTTGAGTTTAGTGAAGTGGAAAAACTGTTTTATTAGGGTTAGCTGCACATCCTATTTCAACTATGGAAGATATGATACATCAGTGAAATGCCTTCTTTCCTTAGAATAACAACTTATGGTTTTGTATATCACAGGGGTTTCTTCCATGGATATTCACTTATTACAGTTCTCATGATTCTCAACCATGCACTGAGGTATATTTTGTATTCAACTTGGTACTTAATGAAACTAAATGAGGTTGACATCAATTTACAGATTGATTTAATGACTAGTGCTATACAATTTTTTCCAGTGGTATACTTTTTTTTTCCATTTCTAATTGGCCTGCTATCTTGGACAGTGGTCTAGCTGTATCAATGGTAATGAAGTACGCTGACAATATTGTGAAGGTAACACTGGGGATTTCTTTTTTATTCGACTCACATAGCTAATTGTCATGTTACTTCTAATTCCCATACTCGTGATTAAGGCAGAATTTGATGCCCATTATACATTCAAGTTTTGCACATCTGTGATCCGTGACCCAAAAAAATAAAAAGTAACATAATGGCGAGCAGTGTGGAATCCCAGGAAGTCAAGTCTATATTACCATTTACCAAGCAACGCCTTGACTCACTAGTCTGAAGGGAACTAATAGTAGCTAGAGGGAGAGAGTTGGAAAAAAGATATTTAAGAGACGAAGCAATGAGTGATAGTTGAGGTGTGAGATATTAAGAAAACAATTAAGTGTTCAAGAACACGTACCAGACTGAGGCCTAGGACTTCTATAGTGAATTCATAGTCATCTCCCCCCCCCCAAAAAAAAAAGTGAAGTATTAAACCAAAGAAAGTCATATTTTAGTACTCTTTAAGTTGATTACTCTAGTTATGAAGTAAAAACCAGTATATTAATAGGCAGAAGTATCCAAAATTGCATTATACGAAATAGGTCTAACTATGTTACAAGTTGTTCTAGAACTTCAGAAATTTTCCTTAGCCAGGTGTTTAAGGTAACATCCTCTCAGCTCACAGGGATAGAGTTAAGGTCTGCGTACACCTCACCCTTAGGAAACCCTACTTCTGGGTGATACTTGGTGTATTTTCTCGGATTGTTCTGGCTTAGGTCTAAATGAAGGTACAAGCTTTTCATCAGTTTAAATTAATCTATGGAGCACTAAAACAAAGACCATATACTTATTTTTTAAGCACAACTGTATACACCACATTAATTTGTTTGTTTACTTTTTAATATTCTTTTTATCTATTTGTTTAGAAATCATGTTATCCAAACACAAGATCATTACAAGCACGAGATCTGGACTCGATTCCATTTAATAGTTTCTCTAATATGATTGACAACTTAATGTTGAAACAATACAAATAATGTTGAGAGCCATCAGGAAATTCATCTTTGCTTTGCTTCTTGAATCTGCTGTGTGTAGGTATATGCTACTTCTGTTGCAATGCTACTGACAGCTGTTGTATCAGTATTCCTTTTTGGATTTCATCTTTCACTCGCTTTCTTTCTGGGATCAACGTAAGTCCTAGATAAACCGTGTGACCTCAGTATATGCAGTGTTTCCACAGCGACTCATGTGTGCTTCCACTTGTTGTGTGCAGTGTTGTATCAGTCTCTGTGTATTTGCACTCCATCGGAAAACTCCAGAGATAACAAAAAAAATCAATGCATTTCATCTCGCTTTGTTGAGTAGGAGCGATTGTGCATCACTTGATCCATGCTTGGTTTTCTATCGGCAGTTGACATTGGAAAGGCACATTTTCTGGAGACGTGGTATTTTTGGGGTAATGGAGCTTTGGATCTCCATCTCTGTCTATGGTTGATAGCTTTTTATGGACTGATTTCGGTGGCTTCATAGTTCAGAATATTCTGTAGATATGTTTCTACAGTGCCAGCACAATTTTGACTTCGGATATAAATGTTTCTATTATTCGTTTGGATAATTGTTATTATTGTCCATTCATTAATTATTAGCTTATTACTCTCTTCCGTATTTCATTATTTGCAACATTAGAATATATACACTATTCATGTACTTTACTTTGACTACATTTTATTTATTAATGCATGTGAATTATTTTTTTTGAAATTTTTTGTTAAATTCGTCTCATTACTTATTTACTTTTGAGACGAATAAAAGTGTCAGCAACATATCTTTTGATGAACTACATAGCAAATGCCTTTTGCTCATTGGTTGTTCTTTGGTTGTACCAGATTTATGTTTTGGGATATTTTATTTTATATTGAATTGGTTACACTAGATTTCCACATATCAAATCAACCTGTGATTCGATAGCTGTAAAATAAATAAATGCATAAATAAGTAAATACCTAAATAAATATTTAATTATACATATGGAGGTTTATAAATCAAATCATTTCTATGTGTTACAAAATTTATTTCCAACATAATTATTTTTGAAATATTTTAAGGTGGCACATTTTTAGGACTAAAATATTCAAGTTCTAATAGGTTTGAAGTTTTTTTCAAAAAATAAAAAATAGGTTTGAAGATGTGCATTTAACTTTTAAAAATCTCAAATATTATTTAGTCAGATAAGTCCATACAACACATGCAGTTTCCTGTAATGGTGAGCTATGTGATAACGATCAATAAGTATTCTTACGACGATCGATTTTCAATTTTCACCCATGTGAAACTTTACGTCGATATATGTATCTAGAGTCACAAGTTCAAGTGGTTTAAAATTTCTTATGTGTGAGAATACGGAAAATCAACAAACTCCACATTAAATGTGGTGTACAAAAAGGTCTTTACTAATTTATAATGTTACGTTTTTTCTTAAATAAAATTGAGATTTTTTTAATTCAAATTCAAAGGCAAATGTTATGGATTCATTTAGGAAAATAACTAAATTACTGTAAAATAAAATAACTTTTCATCCCGTGCAACGCACGGGTGAAAAAACTAGTACTATCATTAATGATACTCCATTACTCCGTAGTAAATACTTCCACATTTAAGGTAACTGAAACTATTTGAAAGTAATTACTAAAAGATGACAATAACTTTTGTCATATTACTCCTATTTCGAAAAGAAAAACATAGTAATCCTATTTTGTAATTTCAAATCTTGTTTACTTCTATTTATGGAACTTTCCATAACATAAAAGGTGAAAATCTAGAGAGGGGAAAATGAAAAAATAACTAGTAATTTATATACAAGTCCAGCTTTAATTTTCAAAGTATAAAGTAATGTTTCATTATTATTTTTTGGCAAACGTAATGTTTCATTATTATACAACTATTTAAGTCAAGTTGTTATATATAAAATCATGTCAATTCTCGCCTGGGAACTTTGCAAGTGTAGACTTCTTTGTAACTTTTGAATTCAAGAATTATGATCGTTTTAATTGGTTTGAAATCTCAAGCCTAGCATGTTCAAATTTGAATGATTTCGATCTCAAATAACAAATTATTTTGGGGTACTCAAAGTTCCAACTTGATCGACCAACATTTTGTTGCATGTGAATTTTCTTGGATATATACATATACTCGTAATTTCAACCTTGTTTTTATAGTTATTCCAAATTTAATTTTATGAAACATCATCCATGATCACATATATATGGAGTGACTTGCAAAAGTAATTGAGCAGTGTTGCTTGAAAATGAATTTGGGTTCATTGTTCAAAGATAAACTTGTGCCGGTCCTTTTCTTTATTGTTCCAATTAACACTAACGGCCCTCCTATGCAAAAAATTAACTGGGCTTGGAGGGGTGAGCCAGGCCTAAGCAGTAGTGCAATGCTCATGCGACTCTCAAAAGCCCAGATAGCAAGCTGCCTTGGTGGACTTTCACCCTTAAAAAATTGAGTTAATATCGTGTGGGCTAATAGCCCACGTATCAAATATTAAATTGATAAGAACAGATACTACACTTGATCTTAGCCAAAAGGTCGAGAAAGGTATGAAGATTAATGACATCGGACTGCTCGATTTAAAATATCAAAGAACCGTCTCTCTCATAAGGAAACGGTGTGTGAGATAAAGAAAAGATCAATAGCTGCTATGTAATACGGAGTAAGTCTCATTTTGATGTCTATTTCTCATACGCTCACTCGTTTTTAACTATTTCGCCACTAACCCAATCTACTGCTTTTACATGATAGATTGATAGATTGTGATTCAAACTTGTGAAACCAAAACAGCAATGGTGCAGACACGTAAAATGATGAAAGAGTGACCTTTATGATATTAGAATTGCTCCAATCCCTTATTTGGATATTTTGAGTTTTATGTAGAATTAATTAACTGAAATTTAGAGCGCGTTTGGTGACTCATTTTTTCGGCTTATCATCCTTATCAGCCAGCTTTTTCACCAAACGCGTAACTTTTGGTTTCGCGCGCTGAATTATGTAATAAACAGAAAAAGTAAGGTTGAAGTTAGTGTAGACGAGCATTTTAGCTATTTTTCATATAATTTTTTATTTTTTATATTAATAACAAATATTCCTAAATATGATTTTTTTAATGAATCGGCAGAATCAGTCAATACAGCAACTTCAGCCACAACTTCATAAATTTCTGCAGAATCAACCAATTCAGCTAATTTTAGTGTTACCAAATGAGCTCTTAGCATTTGTATTTATGTTTTGTAAATAAACTTCAGCTTGAGGGAAAGATGTAGGGTACAATTTGGATATTTTCGATTTTATTAAAGAATTTCAAGGCAAAAGCTTTTCTACTTCTTAGTACTTAGATTGATGCATCGTTGTACACATATATGTCATCTTGGTAGGTTATATTTTCGAATAAGAATATATTACACACTAATTGTTTGGTTTGATTTTTCATTTTTATAACCACTATAGTATTATACTCACGTTTATGTACTCAAATAAACTAAACTATTCAGTTTTATAAAAAACAAGCATAAATTCTATAAACTCTGAAATTAGAACAAGAGTACTTCTTCAATAAATTAAAAAAGTAATCTGGGTAACTCTTGTCATCAGTCCCCTAATACGTAGTATGGAGTATGTGTTTTCGCTTATACTACACCGTTTTGGACACACTAATTTGCCAAGCATGAATAACACACCTATAACTCTATGAGTGTATGTATATGTGTATGTGTCTGTATATATCTTGTGGTTTATAATATATCTACATAAGTTAAGTGACAACATTTTTCACTACAAAAAATAAGAGAACTTTTTTTGCAGGAATTCGTCAAAATTCATAAAGGATTTCACACGGATATTTTAAATCGTGCCAAAAACATTTTGTCATGAGATATTTGTCACAAAATCATTCATCAATTCGTGCTAAACCCGTGTCAATCTCATAATTCTTTTGTAATGTTTATTCCATTGAGATTTATTATTATTGATTCTTTGTTAATAAGCAATAGACATTTTTTCTATACGCTGGCACATACTGTTATTAGATCTATTTGAATGGTGCAACATGTACTTACTAGTCAGAATCTCTTCTAGAACACTCTTGATCCAACCCTACTGATTAATTGTTAATTTGTTTGGTTTGGCAAATCAGTAACTATTGATTCGTTGGCGTGCTTCGCAACGTTGATTTAGACTATGTTCGGTTTTTCTTCACACATCCCACAACGAGCAAGATCTTAAAGTATGTCAATTGTAACAGGTGCCCGACCTAATAATCGATCAAAACATAGGTACCAAGTATGGAGCATAGGGAATAGCCATTATCTTTTTGAGCCGTGCTATTTCGTGGACACACTCTTGCTTCTCAACGAATTATTTGTCTACACGGGCAACTAGGGGGTGTAACTGTGTATAAGAAATTTATACAACTTATGTATACAAACAGCTTTTTGCTATCTTTTTATGTATAGGGAAAGACTATTATGATTTTATGCATACTATATACGGAGTATATAAATTTTTCACGATGACTCTGGTCGAGTATCAGACTTAAGTCATTAACCAGATTAGACCACCAACAATTGTAAAGTATACAAGGTGGAGATGTATGCCATAGAATCAGAGCTGGGTGGATGAAATGACAGAGTGCATCAAGATTTCTATGTGGTCGAAGTATGCCGACTAGACTGAAAGGTAAATTTTATAGAACATCAATTAGGCTTGCATTAATGTATGGCGTAGATTGTTGGGCGGTGAAGCAGTGCCACATTCAAAAATGAGTGTGGCAGAGATGCGTATGTTGCGTTAGATGTGTGGACATACCAGAAAAGTAGTGCGGCCAGTTGCGTTAGATGTGTGGACATACCAGAAAGATGCGTATGTTGTGTTAGATAGAACCAAAAACTAAACTGAGCTTGGAGAGGTGAGCCAGGCCTGAGCAGTAGGGTAACGCTCAAGCGAATCTCAAAAGCCCAGACAGCAAGCTGCCTTGATGGACTCCCCAGATAGAATTGTAGGCATTTAACCATTGGCAAAGTTCAATGGTTAAATGCCTACAATTCTATTTACAACTCTATATCAATCATGGAATTGTATTATAATAACCATCTCATTTATTAATTTCTTTGATGTGTTATACTCATATTTATATAATAAAATTGCTCAATTTTACTTATAATTTTTTTAATAAAAAATATAAACATTCACACATCATCCCTAAGACATACTCTATCTACAATGTTCCGGGCCCATAAAATGTCAGGACCGGGCCTGATTGTATATTAAGTATTCTCTTAATTGCAAAATAAAGCTACCTTTATTTTAGTCATAACTATTTATATATTTATAATGCTTCTTATCATTTATCAAATAAGATTAATTTCTCAATTCTATATACATAACTTTCCCTAACGAAGTGAGAAAAACGATATGATTTCCAAAATAAAAAATAGTACTCCGTCTATAAATTATTCGTAATTCGTAAACATGAGTAATTGTTGTCATACCTTATATGGATTGTCAATTATGGAATTAAACTGCAATTATAATGCCTAGTAATGCCAAAATCAACAATATCAATTCACGACGGCAAGAATTTACGCTTATTGAGGAAAAGATATAGTATTTGCATTTTAATTTTTACTTCTATTTCAATTAATTTCTCTTCTATAAATAACTTGAGATAAATTGGTACATTTTAAAACAATAACATAAAAGGCAAA